TTAATGGGTGATCAATGGGTTGAGAAAGGACCCATATATTTTGGGGTGTCACACATATCCTGATGACCCATTCTTTTTCTTAATGGGGATTATGTGTGATAGCTGTATAAGGTGTTGGATAGGCTTGATGAAGGTGACCCGTAATAGCTTTTCCAGCTCCTCCTTAATTTTTATTATTACCTCGGGGTCATAGTTCTACGAATGTTGCTTAGCGGGTTTGTCCGAGGAGTGGATTTTCTGCTTGTGACAGACCAGACTTGGGTCCAATCTAGGCATCTCCTCATATTTTTCACACAAAAACATCGGCATATTCTGTCAGTAGTGCTAAGAATGCCTGCCTCTTTTCAGGGGGTAACCCATTGCAGATGAAGACTAGCTGTAGTGATTCCCCGGGTGAGGGCGAGGTTCACTTCTTCGAGTTCCTGCTCTTGCAACTTAGGGAGATCCTCCACGCATTATGGTGTAGGGACTCATTAATAGGCGTCGCAGTAGGGCTAGCCTCTGCTTCATGCACCTCGCCTTGGGGACTCAACCCCAGCCTCGCGGGTGGTTGCCGCCACACCATCATAACTAGTAAATGACTCCCCCGTCAGGTAGGACACGATGAATACATCTATTTGGAGCATCCTCCCGCATAAATTCTTCAACTTTCGTTTTTCCTTGGGCTCATTATCTCAACCTTTCTCTCACACTAACCCTCTAAGGCACCACATAGACTTCCCACTAGACTTCTTACCAAAAGGGAATAGGGAATGACAAGGTCTACTGTTGTAAACCTATGGCCTTGTTTTCCTTGACCACTTCATCGTACAGTGCTTTCTCTACCAAGTGTGCCTCATTGTTGCTAAAGGGATCCTCAATTGTGGGTATTGTCACTTCTTTTATATTCCAAATCATCTTCATGCACTAGTGGTATGTGGAAGGGACCACCCCAAGATACTTCTTCCAAGTTCTCCCAAGGAGTACATGGTAAGTCGTAGGGGCATCGATCAAATGGAAAGTCATGGGTACCCTCACCTTCTCCATGACCAAGAAAACGGTGACATACTTGAGGGTATGTCACCCAAGGGTCCTTCTCTTGTCACTAGTGAACCTACTGATGACAATTGTTTTCCTAACCAAACTTGACTCGTGGAGCCTAAGTTGCTCATACATGGACAGAGGCATGAGATTCACTAAAGCCCCATTAGCTAGAAATGTCCTTTTCAACTGTACGCCCTTGATCTTGACAGTGATGTAAAGGGGCAATGGTGCTTCTAGTGTACTTGACGACCCTTCTCCGTGAAGGTGATGGCATTAGACTTTCCCTTGATGCCATGGGGTACTGAGCCTTTCGCGACCATGCATTTCTCGGGGCCTAAGTGCCCCTTAACGCACAAGTTCATGATGGCCTTGGTAATAAAGTCTCAACTAATTAAAAAATTTCTTGGACTTGATTATTTTCCTTTAAGGTGTGTGCGTCCGCGTAGGGCTTAATCACTGGCACGTCGTGGTAGACTTCTAAGGTCTCTTAACTTAATTATATTTCGGGCCACTCTTTTAAGTTGCCCTCCATTATCTCCCTTGATTTCATCATAGAATGAAAACATGTGCACTTATTTGTATTCTTTGTGGTTTATGAAAGGTTGGTCGTAAATATTGCCCCTAGCGCCAGTCAACACCAACTCTCCATTCTTTTAACATTTCTGTAATAGACGGTGCACGGTCCAAATAGTCCTTTAGATTGTGTTTAGTGTGGCAATACAACTCATAGAAGGTCGAGCTATTTTTCTCTTTCCTAGTTAGCTCCTTTTGCCACTGGTGGTAGCTCGATATTGTCATTCTTGATCCACACCATGAAGATCTACTGAACTTCCATCATGCTACAAGGATATGGAGGTGGCTCTTTATGTTTGGAAGCCTTTCCTCGCTTCTTTGGGTGTTGCCCCCCTTTGAGACCTCTTCAGCAACTATGGTAGTTCTCATTTCCTCTTATCCTTCCAGCCCGTTATCTTGAAGGAGGCTTGGACTACCTCTGAGAGCCTTTGAACAGACTCACAAAGCTTTCATTAAGTTCTTGAAGTCATTATTAACTAGATAAGCCTTATACTTGTTCTACATTCTGTTGATGTAGATCCGAACAAGGGCCTCTTCGATGACATTTTCCTTCCACTTAATGGTCTTGTCGTGGAACTTGTCAGTGTTTGTCATAATGGTCTTGTCATGGAACATATCATTGTTGTATGTTGTTCAATATGGAAGAACTTCACATAGAACTATGTGATTAAGTTGTCCCAATCCCCCACTAATTTCGCATGGAGGTTTGGCGTACCAAGTGATGGCCCTTTCCTTGAGGGAGTTGGAAAATTCCCTCATTCGAAGGGTTCGTGGAGCGCATAGTAGTTGAGGCTATCAAGATAGTGAGTAATATGTTCCCAGGGGTTGCTATTTTTTCTATCAAACTTTGCAAACTTTTGGCAGCGAGTACCCTATAGAATACATAACTTGTTACACAACTGGGACAAACTTGGACCTTATGTCCATGGTTGTTGGCATATGCTCCTTATGTTTATCCAATAAGGCTTGGACTTGGGCCAACATGACAAACCCGACACTAGGTATCGGTTTATTTTGTGTTGGCAGAGTATGGTACCTAGGCGCTTGTAGGTGGAAGCAAAGGTGGTGACTAAATGTCAAAGGCATGGTTATAGGGGCAGCAAAAAAAAGCAGTTTGCCCCCATACTTGGGTGGTTTCTGACGCCATTATAAAGATGGTGAAAGGGACCATTTGGGAGTGTACGTAGCCGTAGTTATGGCCAATTGTAACGTGTTAACATCCAAGAGCCGTCGCAGGGTTTAATAGAGGTGTATTGGTCATGGTAGCAAGCTTGGCTATAATAGACACCTTAGGGAGTTGTGACAGTTTAAGGGCCAATTGTAGTCGCTTGCTGTAGGAATGTTAAAGGGCCAGTTGTAGTGGTTTGTTGCAAGAGATCTAAATGACTGCTTTGTGGTGGCTTGCTGCAAGGGCACCAATGGGTCGTGTGCAGCAACTTGCGACAAAAGTGGTAGAGGTTCACCGGTGGGTTTTTGCACTATTTAGCCACGAGGGCTTGACTTCCATGCCACACCATTTATTACTTGACAATGTCATTGGCAATGATATGAGCAGAGTCTAAGGTGGTAGCATCGGGTATTACGAAAGCGTGGTAAGAACATTGATGGGTTTTTCAAGCTAGCTAGTCAAAAACACATCTGAGCTGCTACAACCATCTATTGTTATATAGTTTGCATGTCGTGCAGAGTATACACCATTATGGAGGGGTCATAAACTTCAGGAGCCTTTTGACTTGTAGACGAACCGTGGCTGTCCTCACGCTATGGCGGGCTTTTTCTACTACTCGTTTCCTTGTCGTTGTTATTTTTGGTCATAATGTTAGATTACACTTTTCCGCTATGAATTGTGACAACCATAGACTGACGAGGACAAACCTCCTAGTGGAGTAGCCAAAAGAATATAAGTGGGGAGTTAAAAGAGGCTGACATACATGTTTATGCCAAGGGTAATCGAATGTAATGAGTAGGATAAGTGGATGGGATGGAAGAAACTCAAACAACTTATTAATGAAGGGACTAACCAATTGGGCGGAGGGTAGGTGGCTAGAGTAAAATGCTCTCACTAGTCGGGGTATAAACCTGTCATTTTATAGTGGGCAAGTGACATAGGTATTTACAGCACAATGCTCTAGCAGGTTGGCCTACCCGCTGCGACCCTCTAACACTTGCGTCAACCCATAACTGTCTCGACCGTGGTGATACCAATGGTAGCTAATCACAAGACATGTGTCCTAACATTAACTAGGAAAATATGATGTTTTTTCAAATGCAGTTTGGATATGGCCCTGAGGAAAAGTGCGACAACTAAGGTGAAAGGGGGTGCCAATGCGCTTCTACCCGGGATCCACACTTCCCTCCTTGAAACCTTTTTCAAGGTGCTCAACAGGGGAAACTCACATAGTTTTGGTTCTTCAACCACTAATTCACATGTCCCATTATCCCTTATGTTAATCCAGACCAATGACACTAGTTACCTTAGGAGTCCTTCTAGATCTCAATCAAACACATTCTAGTGGTTAGTGAGCCATATATTGGGAGCCCTGTTCGAGCAGACTAAACTTTTGAGATTTTACCCTAGGTTGAGATTAACAATCATGCTTGTCCACGCTCGTTGCTTAGTTCTCCTTTGAGGAGTGCCATACTGTCTTGTCCCTAGATGGGGGCCCCTCATCTTAGTTCACTAGGCTAGTTGAGCAACGGTGTCCAACAGGTTGAGGATATCAATTTTCGGTTGTGCAATCAGAGCCTTGTGTTTTATTTCCATGGGGGTGGCGAGTCACGCCAAGGTTACCCCCAGACTTTTGTGGTGCCACTCTTGTCTGTCCGTGCTTAGTCAAGGATCCATTTTGTCACTCTCAATGTGATGAGAATGAGTTCGGCTCTTCTGCGTCACGAGACGCTATTGTGGCATGGTAATGCTGTCGCGATATTGATACTTGTCGCGGCGTTGAAATACTATCATAACATTATTGTCCCTATCAATCCTACTAGGTCTTGTTAGGTCCCACTACCATGTAAGTTGATGACTCATGTCACTTGTCCTTACGTGGTGTGAAAATATATCATAAATTTATGGGGTACTGCACTAAAATTATTCTCAATTACTATATTTTTTTTGTTAATTTCTATTTTTGGGGTAAAAACGAATGTATCCGGTTTAATAATATTCGGCCCACTTTTTAATGGGTCCAATTGACTTCTTCAACTGAACCTACCGCAATTTAGCCTTTTCTACCCTCAACCAATACCAGACTATACTCACTTAACACTGACGACCATTTCCATTCCTCTCCCCTCTGGTTCCATTTCTAGGGATTCAAAACTCAGCACCACCACAACGATCACCCCAATACTCACACAAAGCAAATCTTTATGCGTACTACTACTAATCGACAAACCACACCATGAGAACTTTTCATGTATGCCAAATTTTCTACCTCCTGTTCCTATTAGTAGTATCCCAGCTTTGTTCAGTCTCATCATGGAAAAAGGATGAGTTTAGAAACTGTAATCAAACACCATTCTGCAAACGAGCTCGATCCCGCAAACCTGGCTATTGCTCTCTCATCGCAACCGATGTTTCCATCTCCGATGGTGATCTCACCGCAAAACTCATCCCAAGAAATCCCTTTCAAGAAAGTCTTGAGAATGAAGAAAGTTCAGAGAAAACTAAGCCATTGATTGTCAGTTTATCAGCATACCAAGATGGTATATTGAGGCTAAAGATCGACGAAGACCCAAGTTTGGATCCTCCGAAGAAGAGATTCGAAGTTCCCGATGTGGTAATGGACGAATTCTTGAACAAGAAACTATGGTTACAGAGGGTTTCGGAAGAGAAAATTGGTGATGATTCGGGGTTTTCCTCGGTAGTTTATTTATCAGATGGGTACGAGGCAGTTCTTAGGCCTGACCCGTTTGAGGTTTTTGTGAGAGAAAAAGGAGGTAAGAGAGTATTGTCATTGAATTCACATGGGTTATTTGATTTCCAACAATTGAGGATGAAAAAGGAGGGGGAAGATTGGGAGGAGAAGTTTAGAGGGCATACTGATTCCAGGCCTTATGGGCCTCAATCTGTTAGTTTTGATGTCTCATTTTATGGAGCGGATTTCGTTTATGGAATTCCTGAACATGCGACTAGTCTTGCTTTGAAGCCCACTAGAGGACCTGGAGTTGATGAATCTGAGCCATATCGGCTATTTAATTTGGATGTGTTTGAGTACGTCCATGAGTCACCTTTTGGGCTATATGGGTCAATACCATTAATGATTTCACATGGAAAATCTCGAGGGACTTCTGGGTTTTTCTGGTTGAATGCTGCTGAAATGCAGATTGATGTTCTTGGGTCTGGTTGGAATGTTGAGTCTTTGATTTCGCTGCCTTCAGATCAGAACAGGATTGATACTTTGTGGATGAGTGAGGCTGGTGTTGTTGATAGTTTCTTTTTTGTGGGTCCTGGGCCAAAGGATGTTGTTAGGCAGTACACCAGTGTGACTGGAACACCGGCATTGCCTCAGATATTCGCCACAGCTTATCACCAATGTAGATGGAATTATAGGGATGAGGAGGATGTCCAAAATGTAGATTCAAAATTTGATGAACACGATATTCCATATGATGTGTTGTGGCTAGATATTGAGCACACAGATGGGAAGAAGTACTTTACATGGGATAGGGTGCTATTTCCTAATCCAGATGAGATGCAGAAGAAGTTGGCTGAGAAGGGCAGGCGTATGGTTACTATTGTTGATCCCCATATAAAGCGGGATGATTCTTATCACATACATGAGGAGGCTTCTGAGAAGGGGTATTATGTCAGGGATGCAACTGGTAAGGATTATGATGGGTGGTGCTGGCCTGGATCCTCGTCATACCTTGACATGTTAAATCCAGAGATTAGATCATGGTGGGCTACAAAGTTCTCTTACGAGAATTATGTTGGTTCAACTCCTTCCTTGTACATCTGGAATGACATGAATGAACCTTCTGTATTTAATGGCCCAGAGGTATGTTATTCATTTCGGATTTTCAGTTCATGCTTGACTTTGTATAAATGTTATGTGGCGGACATAGATTACCATCCCATGCCAATTTATGTTTGAAACACTTTATATCAATGTGAAGGATTATCAGCTAGAGCCAAGGCCCCTTGATGCTAAAATGAGCAACGTCTCCTTTGATTGAATATTGTCATTGCTGTGTCAAGGCATATATCATCTAATTTTGTCACATTTTCCAGCTAGATGTGCCATCTACAGTTTGATTAGCCCAACTGGTATTTAACTGGCAGACTTGAAGAACTGTTCTTCAGGTCTGCACTTCGGCTGACAAAAGGGGGTGGTCCCTTTCGTTGGTTGATTTCCTGGTTGATATCCCAAGTGAAAAGTATGCAGAATTGAAGAACATTTGGGATATCAATAATGCCAAAATCTTTACTTGGATTAGCAACTTGGTTGATTAGACCATCGGTTCAAAGTTTTATATATCGAGCTTTATTAAGTAAACTTACTATGACTAATCAAATATATTATGACAATACGATAGATAAGTCATTGTGTTCCTGTATTCAAAATAAACAATACAATCAAACCCACAAAACTTCAAACCGTATGTCATTGATTATAAGGACATTAATACAATTTCTTATGTGACAGATGTCATCCTATTTTACCCAAAAAGGACACCAGTCCAAAACAAAAGAGAAATAGAATACAACACATAATATATTAATATAACATTAATACTATTTATTGCTTAACCTAAATATTACAACCTATTAACAAAAAAAGGACAATCATCCAAAACTAGAGAAAATGGAATATATATATATATATATATATATATATATATATATATATATATAGAGAGAGAGAGAGAGAGAGAGAGAGAGAGAGAGAGATGGGTCTGATTTTGATATCAAAGGTCAATTCCGAGAGGAGGATTCGAGGACTATCTCTGTTGATACCTGTGTGAAGAAGAAGATGGAGAAGAAGAGGAGGAGGAGGAGGAAAGAAGAAAAAAAGGAGCCTATTATAGTGTTGTAGCTCCAATTTCCCTGATATGCTTTCAATTTGTAGGTTTAATTGCTTTGATTCGGGCTTGCATGTGGATTTCATATAGATTCCATGTGGGCCTTGATTTTTCCCTTTCTTGTTTGAACCTTTTTGCTTCTTGGGCACTTTGAGTATTGCGAGTAATTGAATTGCGATTCCTCTACGAGTCGGCTGAGGTAGATACAAGTTTGGCCAAGTTAACCCAGTTGAACCCGATTTGATCGATTCTATTGAGTTGCGTCTGAGTCCTTACCAAGTCAAGTTAGACTTGAGATTTATGTGTACCGGGTAGCTACATCAGTTTGGTACTGGCGGAGGCAAATACGACTCGGCCGATACCTTGAACACTGTCTACAACTAAGAAAATTTAGGATTATTTAGCTGCGTTATTTGTTTAGTCCAATTTTGCAAAGAGGTATCAACTTGCCATGAAATTCGGGCTATACAACAAGGTGATAGGAACATACAAGAATTCTAATCAGTCATGATTGAATATTGGGATCAATTGTCACTTGTTGAACGTGCTGAATTGAGCACTAATAAGACATACAACATTTGTAGGGAGGAGTAATAGTTGGTGCAGTTTTTGATGGAATTCAGAGATGGTTTCTAGGGTTTTCGTGGTTCCATTGTCCATCGTTACCCACTTCCCTCAACTAACGTAATAGTTAATGAACTCTTGGTCGAGGAAGTGTGTCTTAAGACCCTATATGGATTGTGGAAAGAGTTTTCTTTCATTTTCCAACTAGATTATATTGGTTGTTCCTCCTAAGGTGACTTCTAATTCGCAAAACAAGTTTTGGGGTCAAGAAGCTTTAGATGTGGGTAGCTTTTGTCATGAGAAGGGCTACTAGAAGGTGCAGTGCCTTAAATTGGTGAACAATATTGCACGAGGATCACAAAGTCTACCTTTAAGCCCAAAGACCATCATGCAGCAACAGTCGCATCATCGGTAGATGGACACTCTCATCAGCCCATAACAGGACTATGATTGCTCATCAGTTGTAGAAGCTTCTATCTCTTCATTAGCTTGGCTCTTAAAAGTTGTTATCCGTGAGTCTAAGGCTACTGAATTTGTGGTCTTCAAAAGGAACTTAAACCTCTATCTAGAAGATATTTTCCTTTTGACCAATCTTAGTTGTCGTGTGACTTTTGTTTGATTTTGACCTTGCAGGAGCAAGTGTAAGGAAATAAAGTAACTCTAGGATTCAAGGAGTTTTTCATGCTATTGATGGATAGAACGAATGGTAAAGTTCAGAACATGCAAATTAGAGTATAAGCATGAATTTTCTTGGCTTTTTCTTGGGTTTCAAGTTGCTTGAAGCCATTGGAATCTGTTACTTTGAACGATTTGGTTTTTCCCTCACACAAAAAGTGTTGCTAAAAAGGGGAAAAATGTTCTTTTTTGTGAAGATAAGTGGAGTGACAATCCTTGTCCGATTTTGTTTCCTCATTTATATAGTTGTTCTCGTTCTTATAATCCCACAATCGCTTCTGTGGTCCACTTTTATTATCCTATCAATTAGGATGTTAAATTCTTTAGAAGTTTTATTGATGGGGCGTTCATGAGTTTTCATCTCTTTTATCTCTGTTGAATGGAGTCAAGGTCAGTCAGTTGACAAAAGGAGGTGGTCTCTTTCTTCGATTTATATTTTCTTTTTTTTGGCGCAGCTCTTCCTTTGATTCTATGATTGAAGATCCTAGTATAGAACAGTTTGATCCTTTTGTGATGATTTGGAAAGCAAAACTGTCTCTCCAATTGTTGCTCAGATGCGACTTCTATACTATGTATTTATCTCATTGGGGGCCTTGTAATTGTTTTTTTGCCACTGTACTGTATTATGTGTGTAGGAAGTGAGATATTGTTGATCACATTTTCTAGTATGGTGCAGTTTTTTTTATCATTGCGGATAAGACAACATTCTTCGGTTGCAAAGAGGAAGAATCACCATAGTTGTCAAGACTAAGAATTGATCCTAGTTATGTGGTTTGATCATTGGAAATTGTTGATGTCAGTATGATGGCACTTTTCAGCGATGATGTTAGCGTGTATTACAGATTTTGAATTTTTTTTTCTGCTCCCGTGTTGTAATTTAATGATGAGATATTGCTCTGATACCAAGTTAAGTTGTTAATCTAAGGTTAGGGTTTAGTAGAGAGAGAAAGTTAAAAAAAAAAGAGAGGAGGGATTGAGAGAACTAATCTATGTGTAGGTTATAAAGCCCTACACTCTTAGTTATAGTAAACTGATTTTATGAAAATTGCAATATTACCCTGCACTACTAATAATATAAATAAGAACTCTTAACATAAACCTCAAATCTTCAAGACGCAAGCATAACTCTAGAAAACTCGAGAACTTGGAGGGTTAAGGAAGAAAGTCGAAACTTATGTGTGGCCTTGATATAATTCCTCTATGGACAGCTAGAGAAGAACTTGAAGGCCAAAACGTGCTAAGGAGAACAAGGGAATTTAAAAAATGGATAAAACTTGAAGGCTCTCATTGGTAACCATCACGCATTGTCTTTTGGCTTGGAGTCATTTGCCCATATTCGTTTATTTTGCTCAGACCAAAGCATCACACAAGCTAGTGAATTGGGGAATTGAAGATTTAGGGAAACAAGTGGTTAATGGGCATGCTAGTGATTGTAAAGGTGCCACGTGGTTTATGTTTTAGATTTATATGCATTTCTTTAATTGGTTCTTCCATTCATTGAAACACAAAATAATAATAAGTCAATTTAATAATTTTTTTTAATTTTTTATGATCTCATATTGAAGTTTGGGTTTAGGTAGCCTTTTTTGGATCTTTTAACTTTGATATCATTCTTGTTTGTGGTAGATTTGAACAGAGTTGGTACAATTTTACGGATGTACAAAGTGAATTTAGATTATGATGTCTTTTGTGTTACTGATTTAAGACCTAAAGTAGGTTCTTTAACACGACAATATTAGGTCTACGAATGGAAATATATAGTAAAAATCAGTTAGATACCCTTATGTGAATGATTTTGGAGTTGAAACGTGCAAATACATTCGTTTCTAGGGGGTGTGAATTGAGGAACAAAATTCATGACTTTGGTTTCTGTTAGCATTATGTAGCGCCTGTTACATCCTGCATCTATTATATTGTTCCCGATCTCATTACTGAGGTTGTTACCTTTATTTAAAACTTTGTTGTTATTGGATCATAATTCCTCAATGTTTACTATTTTGTTTCTCGAAATTGTGACATTCTCACAAAAAAAACTCAACAATGGCAAGCTAAGCTAAGATAAAAGGCATGATTTTCAATTGAATCGATTAGTTGATATGGAAAACCCCACAAAATACCACAAAATAACTGAAGCTCACCAATCGAACTATAGTTTATAGACGATGAAATGGGTTTCCTCTCGAGTTTCTTCTTCTCGCTAGTTGGTATGCTAGTTTTTTTGGGGTGATAATGTGTAGATGAGGAAAGACAAACTATGCTCCAATGTTTGTCACTTTTGCTAAACACCCTTCAAGTAAGGTTTTGGGAAGTGTGAAATGATAATGGTGAAGGGTTGGAGATTTGAAGAACTCATCCATACATATGTTGTATAGGAAATATTAACTATTTGTCAACAATTCTTTTGCAAAAAGAGTGTTGGCTGTGGACCTTAGCCTCATGGAAAAATGGGTTGAGATTTGTCCAATAGATTAAAAGTATTTTGGGTTTTCTTGTTTCCTTTCTTTTAATTTTTTCTTCTCTCTAGGTCTAGGGATCATGTACCACTAACCAAAGAAAAAGTGAAAATAAACCCTCACATGATTACTACTTCAAACTTAATTCCTTCGTTTTTTACTAGATTGACTTAAAATCACTAGAGAACTGTATAATGATTGAATTGAAATGTAAATTAAATCATTTAAGATCTCAAAACCATATAATGTGACAATAAAATACACTATAAATCACTAAAAACATATATCTACATAATTTTGGAGTTAAAACATGCATAAATTCGTTTATGGGGAGGTGTAAATAGGAAATAAAAGTTCATTCCTCTAGTTTCTCTTACTATTATGTCCCGCTCGTTACGTCTTGTGACTGTTGTGATGTTATCATATCTGTTACGATGATCGTTACTATCATTCGAAACTATGATCCACAATCTTAATAGGTGTATGCTAGCATGGATACAACCTCTCGTGAATATTAGTCCCTCTCAGCCACTCTTGTGGGGAGAATACCACTATTAAGGAAGAAATTGTATGTTATGAACTTCTTCTTTTAATTGCCTATTTAGTCTGATGTTAGTGAGGTGGAGTAGCTGCATATTGAGGACAAGACTAATACCAGTGGCCCACCTAGTGCTTGTGTAGGCAAGGATAATTGGAAGACTTACTCTCGATGTCAAACATCATAGATTGCCATGTGCCACAAGTCACTTGCATTCCCCGATTTCGATTCTAGCATCTTTCATTGATTTATCACGTAATGAACTTTAGATTATTACTCTTGTCATAGATAATCCACTTGATGATTTTGAACTTCCAATTGCAGCCAAAAAAGGTGTTAGAGCTTGTATTTAACACCTTATTCGTAACTTTGTCTCTTATGATTCCTTATCTTCATTCTATTGTGCTTTGTTTCCTCGTAGTCTCTTACATATATTCTCTAGGGTTGGAAAGAAGTTTCCACTAATTCTTAGTGGAAAAATCTATTGGAGAGAAAATAAAAGTCCTATAGGAGAATAACACATGGGACCTGGTCTCTCTACCTATGGCAGCAAGAGCAGTTGGGTGCAAGTAGGTGTTCAATGTCAAGGAACAAGCTGATGGGATAATCGACAAGTACAAAGTTGGTCTGGTTGCTAATGCATTCACTTAGACTTATAGCATTGATTATCAGGAGGTTTTTACCTCATGGCGAGGGTGAACTCCATACACACTCTTCTCTTTTGTGTAGGTAATTTGAGTTGGAGTTTGTAGCAGTTGGATGTGTAGAATATCTTTCTTCAAAGAGATTTGAAGGAGGAGGTGTATATGAAGATCTTACTAGAGTGAAGGTGTGTAAGTTGAAAAACTCTCTGTATAATCCTGAAGTAGTCTCTTAAATCTTGGTTTGATTGGGCCCTCAAAGAATATCATACTATATTCATCGAACAGATTTATAATAAGATAATTGTTCTTATTTTGTATAGGATGACCTCGTAATAACTGTCAATGGTGTGTAGGAAGGCACCAAACGAAAAACTTAGATGGTTAAGGCGGTGTTGCTATTTATCCTACTATACCAACAAAGGGTGGCTAGCAAATTTGCAAGGAGATAGTGCGACTTTCTTTGTTCGCATGGTAGAGTGAGGGGCTCTATCCATTCGCCATTAGGGTTGGCTTATGGTGAAGATCTGCTCATATGTTGTATGAGGGGCGGCAAAAGGCAGCTTTGCTCATAAGTTAGTGGTTAAATGGAAAAGAATCTATTGGCTTCTTTTCTATGTCGTGCTGCGTTGCTCCTAGAAAAGATGTAACAAAGATTAGTGAGGGCATTGATAAATCTCTCTAATACTCGGGTAGATATTGCTTATGAGTGGGTATTGTCAATTAGTTTATGCAAGATTCTCAAACTCCTTATCTTAAAATTGTTTGTCGTACTTTGAGATATCTCCAATCAACTCTAGAAAAAGGGATTTTGTTCTTCGACCAGGGTTACTTGAAGCTAGAAGTAGTCACTGATGTAGAGTGGGCAGGTTCAGTGGGTGACATATGATATATTTTGGGCTACTGTACCTTGATAAAGGAGAGCTTTATCACGTGGTGAATCAAAAAGTAACTAGTGGTAGTTAGGTCTAGTGTAGAAGGTGAATGCTGAGCAATAACTCATGGAACTTGTGACCTTATGTGGCTCCAAATCTTATTAGGAGATCTAAAAATTTATAATGATGGACTTATGAGCAGTGACAATAAAGTTACTGTCAACATTGCTCATAACCTAGTTTAACATGACAGAATCAAGCATTTTGAGATTGATCGACACTTCATCAAGACAACGCTTATCAAGGGTTTGATTTGCATTCACTTTTGTGAAATTAGAAAATCAGTTTGCCCATTTTTTCATTAAGGGGCGTAGTAGCAAGATGTTTCACCCTAGTACTTCCTACTATTTTCTCTTCTTTTACTTCTTTCAATCTTTTTTTCTCAAATCCTACAACTTCACAATTTAACTTTCCTTGTTGTTTTATCTATCCTTGAAAAAGGAAGTAACTAAATGAATCATTGATCGGTATATAAAATTTCAGTGAATGTATAGAAAAATATTTCTGTTTTTTAGACATGCTTACATGATATACAATTTTACATTTTGAATTTTATTACAGTTGTTTCTTAAGGAACTTTGAGGTGACAATATGGGGTTAAAATTTTAATTATTTCTATCTCGTGGTCATTTTACACGATTGCTTTTATGACCAGGTAACAATGCCTAGAGATGCTTTACATCATGGAGGTGTTGAGCACCGAGAGTTGCATAATGCCTATGGTTACTACTTTCATATGGCTACAGCTGATGGGCTTGTAAAGCGAGGAGATGGGAAGAATAGGCCTTTTGTTTTGTCAAGAGCATTCTTTCCTGGAAGTCAAAGGTATGGAGCAGTTTGGACAGGAGATAACTCTGCAGACTGGGATCAACTCAAGGTTTCAGTGCCAATGGTTTTGACCCTTGGTTTGACTGGAGTATCATTTTCTGGTTAGTTAATACCTTTTGTTTAGGTTATCACTAGGAAGTTTAATTCTCATAAGCATAGTCATGGTAGATATACTTTGCAGGTGCGGATGTTGGTGGGTTTTTTGGCAATCCCGAGCCTGAGTTGTTAGTTCGTTGGTATCAACTTGGCGCTTACTACCCGTTCTTTAGGGGCCACGCCCATCATGACACCAAAAGACGAGAACCTTGGTTATTTGGGTAGGATATCCTCTTCTCTGCATATGAGATCTATTATTTAGTGATTGAGAATACTTTTATTATGCGACAGTGTGTAGGTTTGTATTTACCATTTTATAATGCAAATTCTTTCCCAAGGCAAATATATCTTTTTCTATATTATTTTATCTTGCAGCTTTATTTTACTTAATTGGGAGGTTTGGTACATTATTCAATTTGTATAATACACTTTATTTCTCAGAAAAGATGGTAATATATGGACCTCTATATGATACTTAAAATTTATTGCCATGTTGTGTTGTACAGGAGGGGAGGGTTATATAGGCATCCAACCTATAGGGTTAGAAGATAGTAGTTTTGTTTGACTTTTTGGAGCTAATGTTTTTCTCCTTTGAGGACTACTCCAGAGCTTTCAATGTTTTGAAACGTGAAAATTTGAAACTTGGACTCTATAATGGTGTCACTGAAACTAGTCTTGATGAGGAGTATAAATTCCTATCCCCGAGATTTCCATACAAAGTTGTTTTATTTTCCTGAAATGACCTTTGTCCTATAATCAAACTCTCTATAGGATCCTAGATTACAACATAAAATGATATAAACTTATCAAATTATGGGATGTCATGCATTGAGTATGGGTTTTTGACTTTCTTGTGGCAGGTCTGGGGGTGCTTTACTCATTTGGATGAGAGAGTGGTGAGAAATTTGGGGTCGGTTGGGGAATTTCCCAATTTCTATTACTGGAAACAAGGTGAATATGGTGGCTAACTGGGGTTTGTGGTCCTGATGTAGGATAGCAGTGGGCCTGAAAATTCAGCATTGTTCAAGGCTGAAAACAGTATTCGTCAACAGTATTTGGGGCAGGAGGTGCTACTTTATGGGTTATGGTTCAATGGATTGTTTGGAAAAAGGAGTAGGGTTTGTAGATCACTTTTATGATTTAAAAAATACAAATTCAGATCCGATGTTGATTTCTCCTCCTTCAAACATGATGTTGATTTTTTGGAATTACATTTCCTGTCATATGTTTGGAGGCAAAATACAACAATGATCCTTGAGTATGCGCTTTGTGTCACTTTTGTCTTCATTATCAAGTGTTATTTTACTCCTCAAGTTTTCAATTTGCTTCATTTTGGTTCAATACCGGTAGGTGTCGCTTGCGTCTTTGATGAACAAACAAGTGGTATTTTGTTGGAACTTGAGTGACTGACCTGACACAAATTGCAGACTTGAGGGATCAAAGTGACACCAATTGCAAACTTGAGGGGCCAAAGTAAGCCCTCAAGTTTGATCAAGTAGGACGCACGTGATCATATCCATTGTGCAATTTAAACTGACGTTTTTGATTGGACAGTGACACAACTGAAAACTTAAAGGACTAAAGGACACAAGTGAAAGAATGATGACCAGTGACATAAAGTACATACTTGAAGGATTCTTACCGTATTTTACCCTACTTGTGGTGAATGCTTTATGAAGTGACTGAAATCAGTGTTACTTACTGTTACCAAATTGTCCTGTACATTAATTACCTACAGCTTCTTGTTGAAAAGATTAATCTCGAAATGGTTTTGTGTTCCGTTGCCACTGTTAATATCATATTAAGTGATGGTGTGTTGATTGCAGGGAAAGGAATACAGAACTAATGAGGGAAGCCATACGCGTTCGTTACATGTTACTCCCATATTTCTACACCTTATTTCGAGAGGCAAACGTAAGTGGTGTGCCAGTTGTGCGCCCACTTTGGATGGAATTCCCAGCTGATGAAGCTACTTTCAGTAATGATGAGGCTTTTATGGTTGGAAACAGTATTTTGGTGCAAGGAATTTATACAGAGGTGCTGTTGCAGCCAGATGGTCGATTTGTCTTTGTTTGTTGTAATCAAATTTCTTCTGCTTTCTTTTTTTCACTTGTTACTTGCTTTGTCTCTTCGCTGTTTCTGTCACAAACTAAATGCATTAGCAATTTTCAAGCAGGGTGCCAAACATGTGTCAGTGTATCTCCCGGGGGGACAAATTTGGTATGACTTGAAAACCGGAACCTCATATAAGGGAGAGATGACCCACAAACTGGTGTCTCAGAAGAGAGTGTTCCTGCTTTTCAAAGAGCGGGAACCATCATACCAAGGAAAGACCGATTTCGCCGAAGCTCCACTCAGATGGAGAATGACCCTTACACTCTGGTATGTGTTCGATTCTCAAGTGCTTCCTTCTTGGCACATTCTCCAGCTTGCAACCCTGCTGGCCCCCCCTTTCCCTCTCCTTTAAGTGAGCTAAAAAATCTTTTCCATCCAATTGCAGAATTGATTGGAATCAGCTGATTGTTTTTAGTTTATTTTGGGAAAAAATCTTCAACATTCGAATATGGTTTTGAATCTCACATGATACAAGAAACAGATACCATATGTTAGTCATATTTAATTGTCTACGTTACTTGGGCATCATGTCGTAGAAGTTGATGAGTCATTTTTATGTACGAGGACTCATTGTGTCAAAAAAAAGTAATTAAAAATAGAAACTAGATGAAACTAGAAGAAAAAGAATAAAAGAGCAAAAGAAAAATGCATTTCAAGAGTGTGAATCTGGTGAGATGTATTATTCATTACCAGTGATTAATACTGAAGATATCCATCACATGAACTGTTCTAAATTTGAAACACAACAATAACTATAGTCATTGTTATATCATATTGTTGCAGCACTTTGAAGCAGACCTTGACGAAATGTAACTCATCCAGAAAGAAATTATTGTAGTATGAGATATACAAGTGAGAAAAACAGTAGATGAAGTTCAAAGAATAGTAACAATGAAGTGGTCCCGAAGTCGTTGAGTCAATTGTATGCTCTAGGTGACAGGCAATGTTTTCTGATTAGGAAAAATGGAAGAAGGGTGTGGTATGTTGCAGACAGTTGTTTCATTCTTGGCATGTGATAAGTAGAGAGTTGATAAGTGTTTTAAAGATGGAAGTGGATAAAAAAATTTTTTTTTCCAGTAATTCAATCACAAAGGTAGAAGAGATTTGAAAAGAAGGAACTTAATTGGTGCAAAATTTGTTCGCGTGAAGTTGTAGCTGTGAAAAC